CTCAAATTCCCCAAATTCTGTTGGATCTAAATATCTCACCTCATTAGACATGATCTTTCAAAGGGATTGTGGAGAGAGAGGTACTTTAATGCATAATCTGAAGTGTATTCAATTATGTGAGCCTGAAATGTCCACTGTGTCTGTTTGAAACCAGCCCCAGACCAAATCTTGAGTAACAGCTTGTCAGCATGTAGACCAGGCATTTCCACCTGACACTCAGTCTCCCCACTCCTGAAATGACCAGACCCATTTTGTAAATGAAACATTTAAGGTGAGATTTTTCCCCCAAATTCATTAGAATACACACAGACCTTAGATATGAATGAATCAGCATAGACAACTAGTGCTCATGGAATTCCACCTAATTATGTAATGCAATTATATAAGTTGTGCAAGCAACCAAACACTGTCATTTTGGTTTTCCATATGATTATTATCCTGAGTGACTGAGTGTATGTATGTCTTACTGAATTTTTTTGCAGTTCTGAGATGAGTCTGCCAAATGCTTCAACTTACAAAGTGACACACAAAATGGTTGCCACCTTCCTCATCATATTGGAAAGTTCAATTTTTTTTTCTTCTTAGTCACCTGCTCGACTGAGTACCATGCAGGTCTGTAGACTTCACAGGAAATGATTGAAGTACAAATTGCCATATTCTAAAAATGCTTGGAATAGTGGAAGTTTCAGTTCTGAAAATCTATTTCAAAAACTCTGTAGAGACATTCTGTTACTTCGTGTATCTTGGTCTGGTGGATGAGTATTCTTAGTAATGACCATGCTCGAGTGAATTCCTTTTTTCAAAAATAACCAGTCAGTTTCTTTGCTATTTTACTGCAAGGGTTAAACCATAACTGAATATCTTAATTGAAATAGCATGACAAGAATTTAAAGCTTAATTAGTGTTCACAGCATTCATAATATCAGCTGCTTGTCATATGAGGACTTATGAGTGAATACCTAATCAATTTATGTTTTCAGTGTTTTAATCAATCTGCCCAAATATGTTATTACACACCTCTGGAGCATTGAGACTTGAACCCAGTCCTCCTGGCCCAGAAGTAGAGACACTATCTCTGTGCCAAAAGACCCTTTGATTTGCATGTTTATATTCATCAAAATATGTGTTGGCAATCCATTGGATTTTGTGGACTTTTATCAAAGCTCTTTAAATACAGTTTGTTGCAATCTCTATGTTTTGTTTGTCTGTAGGATCCAACACCAAAATCTGGTTATTAATAAAATGACTCACTTGAGCTTTGTGGTCCTGATAACATGGGCTTATAGTCAAGTATGACCTACAAACTCTAGGATGTTTAGACATTCAAATTATCATCCTTTAAATGTCAAAGTCCAATTACACAATATTCCAATGTACCTTGCACTTCATAAATTACTGCATTATTCAGTTACAGAGCTGTTTATAATCCCACGATTTAAAGGATCTGTTAGAGAAAGGTGTGGGACTCTGGAAACTCACCAATGGTTGGACTTTCCTCCTTTGTATCTTTCCCCAAATATAACTCCACTGCTGGTTTGGTTTCAGACTCAATAACAGATAATATTATAAAACTGTAATCATTTTACCTATTGTCCCAATCTGCATTGGAACAAAAGTCCACTCTTTGACTTGGAGTAAATAGGGTGTTTCCGGGAGATGATGAAAGCATGACTGGGTGTGATGGAGCTTGGCATTGAGAGCTTGCATAACCCACTATGACTTAATTATCCTAGGGCTGGCTTTCACCCAAACTAGGGACGGTAAGACAGGGAGGAGCTCAAATTTGTATGACAGCAGACTGCTGCCAGGGACTTCACAAAATGGCGATCGGTTTAGACCTATGTCATTCGTCAGTGCTGGGGAGACAGTCAGCGTGTGATCCCAGTCAGGGGAGGAAGGGAGGTCCAAGGGCAGGAAAGAATTCCTTGTGGATCCTAGAAGAGTGCTCCTGTTGCTCCTTGTCCATGAAGAAATGTTTAAAAAAATAAAATTTCCTTAACTGTTCTCCCCTATAGTTGAAGCCTTTTGGGCATGGCATATGATTTAAACTGTTCTTGAGTTATTGAGTGAGGAATATTTAGAGATAGTTGTTTTTGATGAGAAAGGAAAAGAACACGTTTTAAAAAGGCAAAGTTAAAAGGAAAGCTACAGAAAATGTTTGAAATGTTCATGATTCAAGATGAAGATGACCACGTTCATCACCTATGGTGTGTGGTAGGTTTTTAGTGGATATGTAAGTAACTGCTCAGGCTCATCTGTGTCAAGAAAGTTCTGCTTCAAGTAGAACAGTTGTGGGGCCCCATTATTGGAAAGATTTGAATGCATTGGAGAGAGTGCAGAAGAGATTTACAAGAATGGTTCCAGGAATGAGAAATTTCAGTTATTGAAGAAGTTGTGACTATTCACTTTGGAGAGAAGAAACGTGAGAGAAGATTTAATAGAAGTTTGTAAAATCATGAGCAGGCTGGATGGAGTAGATAGGCAGAAGCTGTCCCTGCTTGTAAAAGATAAAAGGACCAGGTGGGCATAGATCTAAAGCAATACACAAATGAAGCAAGGGTTATGTGAGAAAAAGATTCTATCACACAGCAAGTGTGGTGTGGAATGCACTGTTTGAAAATGTGGTGGATCCAGTTTCAACTGAGGCTAGCCTCCTTCTGTAATGATCCTGTTATTGAACAGGATACCACAGAGAACTGAGTTTTGAATGAATGGCTGCCTCTAGATTTGCTCTCCATGCGTTTTCTCTCTGCTTCTTGTATACATTTGCTTTTGAAGGAGGCTGTACCATTTTTGGTTACATCAGGTGGAGCAATTCGGGGTAAGCATCTCCCAGAACTCCAGGACTCTCTCACAATTCTGATTTGAAGCATTTACGGTGTCCGTGTGGCATATCTTCTAGCTGCTATGGTAGTTTAGCTCTGACTCAGACTCCCTGTTGAAGATTCACTTTGGCACGTGATTGTGAGACGTTCTGACTACATGTTGTGCCTGCGTCATTATGCTGTGGGTGCTTGGCCTGTCTCTTTTGCATGAGTACCTCAGTGTTTGGTATTTTGTCCTGCCATCTCATCTTCATAAAAGTCCAAAACCTCCCATGTATAAAGGAAAATGGACAAGACTTTGTCTTTCCAAAGCAGACTTGGTGCTTTTTTATTCCCATATTGATGTTTGATGTCTACCAAAAGCTACTTGTTTTGACAGTTTTTGAATATGGCCATTAATGTTGCCAATATGAGTAAGTGTTGTGACCGAGATAATTGAGCCTGTCCACTGCTGAGAGGTTTTGGTATTTTATAGTCATTAATCCTCATGCTGGAACAGCACATAGTACTACACAATTATAAATGGTGTGTTTCTAGCTATGCCCGACCTTTTCCTGAATAAGATATCACTTTTTCTGTGTAGTTAGAGGCACTTTTAGTTTAAACATTTGTTCATTGTGAACTGGGTTGATACTTTGAGTTCATTTCACCTAACACATTTGAATACTGATTAAAAATAGGAAACTTACGTTCCATAAAATCTAAGAGCAGAAGTAGGCTATTTTTGCATCGATGCTACTCCATCACTCAGTGAGATCATGGCTTATATGATCATCCTCAACTCCACTTCCTTGCCTTTATCCCTTAACCCTTTGTCCCTTGCTGATTAAAAATCTTTTCCATCTCAGCCTTGTGTATGTATAATGACCCAGCCTCCACAGTTGTGCATGGTAAAGAATTCCACAGGTTTACTACCCTCTGTTAGAATAAATTCCTTCCCATCTCTGCCTTAAATGGGCAACCCCTTATTCTGGGATTATGCCCTGTGGACCTAGGTTCACCCTTGAGGGGAAACAGCCTTTCCGCATCTACCTTGTCAAGTTCTCTACCTTGTCAAGTTCTCTACCTTGTCAA